CAAGGTAGTGAAGCAAATTCATCGCCTCAAACCTCTACAACTGAAGAAGAAGGTTTAAGTACTGACACAAAGTTTATTTCTATGACATCAAATCGGAATTAGATTCAATAAAAAAGTCACATCGTAACGTTAAACGGACATGTTTTCTCTAATGCAGATCAACGTGAGAGCTCAACTGCTCAGAATTATCGCCCGCATTTAGATTAAGTGGCCATTTCCAGGCACGTTTTATTGTTTACGTCACATTATTCCAACATCACTAATTCTTAGAATACGCTAGTTGAGACCATGTTAACCAAACCCTAAACCTGATGAAAACTTAATTTATAGACCTCGTTTACCAAGAAGGCGGTAAACACTAAAACCCTTTATTTAGAAATATACCTACGTACCTACATAATAGGTTTTATTCTGGAGAGACTCGCAGAAGTTCTTAGGTATGTATACTTATCTAACCTTTTTTGTGAGGGAAATATCATCAAAAGGCTTCTCTCGCCCAGAGTGAGGCGAGGAGTGTCAGACTCTTACTGGCTAAACCCCCCCCCTGTTCCTGCATCCTAGGCTAAGGCCGCGGTACCGTATTGTGCTAGCCCCGCAACTCCGGCTGAACATCGGCCCTGTAGGATCCTGTCTGTTGTGGTCTATTGGCTATTCTCCCTAGGAACCTAGGAATCTTCCATATCATGTTATGGAAGATTCCTAGGTTCGTTGCACTATGAAGGCCCCGAGCAGGTCTATAAGAGAACCTGGTGACCGGTTACAGTTGTTAAGGATGACCATCGGGCGATTAAGTGAGGTATAAATGTCACAACCCAGTCTACTTTTGAAACACGTAGGATCAGAATAGTTGTATAATTTACGTAATATTATTATCCTCACAAAAATAATGGTTTATATATAATACAGGTAAACAATAAACATTTCCCAAATACTTATGAAGAATACTAATTGAATCGGATGAAACAAAATCAGTGTTTTCAAGTTTGGTCAGCTGAAATATTCAACTTTCTAACAACATGTCGCAATCAAGGATTAAACGATTATCAGTTGGCTCCGTAACATATACATATAGTTAAACTATTTCAAAGTATCGGTACATTCGTATTATACATTAGGTATATGAGAATGCAATACATCAAATATTAGTTAGTATACATATAGATAGATATATATACATAAAAATCTGACTAATACTATATATAAGCTTGCCAATACGAGTTGGTCTCTGGTGTATGATATTTATCCTTCACATTATGTACCGAAGGTCATCGATAAAATTTTCTTAATTTCCATACATATAGGCCATGTAGCGGAAATTTACGAGACATATAAACTGTGGGGTCAAGTTAAATTAAGCAGCTGGTATTGTGTATTTATTTCATTCACAGAGTTCAAAATATTGCAAATAAAACAAGTATGTACCTACAGGATATAAAGGTAACTTTTAACATCTGCTCATGTGAACTAGCCTAGTAAGAGGTACTCTTAATCGTACAGAATAAGATGGACAAGCTAGCTAATAAAAATATTGAGATTCTGTTAATAAATGAGTTATAGTATTGTTCTATTTTTCATATTGTTAAAACATACATACACTACGTGATATGAATAGGTGACTAGAAAAAGAGATCGAAAATTAATTTCCATTCGGTTTAATCCTATATTAGAGAATTGTAAACAATGTTAACCCTTTCAAACAAAATTGAATGGTTACCCAACTAATTAAAAATAAATGAAGCGTTTATCTGTTTTTTAAAAGAAATATGATTGATGGTAAGCTGAAGAACCAAGTGTTTCTATCGTGTGCATTAATGTGACTTAATTGCACTTGGATACGAGCAAGCTAACTCACGAACAAAAACGATGACATTATCAAAACTTCATCGTCCATTGTTACTCGTGATACACATTTGATAATTAAGTCGAAATTTAATCTGCAGTGATTAATGAACAAAGCGAGCACTACAGGCAGACCACCCACGGGGAGGAGACGGCTTAATAAGACCCTCATTAACACCTTAATGGCTATTCTCAATTCGCCTGATTTCTCTCGACTTTTATTTATTTTTTCCTTCTCAGTCCAACGCGGTCCCTACGCATCTTGTATCCCGCTTGGATACCCTCCTTTAATTGAATTTCTGCTCCCTTTTTCTAAAACTTATTCTCTTTGACTTAAGATTAGTGATGTATTTAAATTGGCATTTTGTTACGTTTTTATAATCGAGTTAAGCAAAGGTGCGCCATGTTACCCAGTCAGTTTTAATTTGATTGTTATAATAAAGAGCTAAGAACTGAGGCGTGAATATTTAATGCATTTGTCATTGATGTTGGAGATATGACACAGTTTACTCGAGCAGCGCTCGTTAATTTGGGATGTCGCATCATATGTCTATCAGTGGGCTATAATGCTGCATGGTAGAAGGGTTCGTCTGAGGTTTCCGTTTGCAATAAACGAGTGATAAACGCATATACGGAGCAGGACACATGCTGCTGCACATGCTTTCGAACAACTGACGAGAGATTTTATGGCTCGCCTTCACGATTCGCCATCAGTTTCTTAAATATTAATTAACATTTTTATCACGCTTTATGAAGTATTTATGCCTTCAACTTCAAAGGAAGAGTATTCCTTTTATTGTGCATACATAAAAATTAATAGCACGGCGTTCGTAGCCTATAATCTATATCATAAATGTCTATTTGCAAATAAAAAACATGGTTGTCAAAATATTCAGTTATTTTATATTCATTTCATAATGTTTAAAGCGGATTGGTTTAAAATAGATGACCGCTTATCTCAGTTTGCTAGGTTGAATTTCATTTGTTTATATGTTTAAAAACATGATTAGATTTAGTATTTCATGATAAGTAGGAGTTCAACGTTTTTTTAATGAAATAATCCACTTTTATTCTAAAGGATAGTGACATAATAAACTTTGCGCCTTATTTTTTAAGAATACCTAATTATAATTATTAAATTTTCAGTACAAACAGCCCTTAAAATAAAAGACTAAATCGATGTCATTCAAAGCAGTTACACAAATAATACCCCTTTTATTGATTATCAAACGCATACAATAGATGGCGCTGCTCGTATTGTAAGTCGCAAGTCGAACAGACGCCGCCACCGGAGTTGCTCGTGTACAAAAATGGCAGTTGAATATTTTCCCCCGCAACGGTTTAAAGGAGGGCCAAACGATACTATGCCTTGTTTCCCCGCCTTACGGTTGTATTTTGTGTGTAGATAAGTGAAGACTTACATAGCCAGAAACAGACACAAGTGTATTTGCGGTGGAGCGTCGTCATTGTTCGCTAAATCGTCGCTTGCACGGAACCGGCCGGGCTTGTCGTGAGTTAGGTATGAACAGGGACACACAATGACAGTATACATACATTTAAACACCTGTTATTAAACATGCAGGGTCACAGAGCGTACCTACGTACCAGCTTCGTTAAATAAATGACTGATAGAGATCTCACTGCCGTCGGTTTAGGATGCATCCACAATTACCAACAAACAACAACGTTTGTTAAAACATTATTATAATTACGAGTTGAATGAACTTCATCCTTTTTTGCGTATAATACTCAAAATTGTATGATAATATATTTGAAGAAAAGATATAATTAAATAAGATTTACCAGTCAAAAACACCAATTTTGGGTATATGTTTTGTTGTAAAACATTCGGTATTATAGGTACCTTTGCCACTAAAACTACGTCCTCTTCATAGACTGCGACTATTTCTTCAAAAACATACATGTGAATAGCCATGACGAAAAACACCCAAAACATTATTATAATGGCATAATCTTGGCAAGCGTCACTCATATCTTTAGTGACAACTTCCGTTATGAATATTTCAGCAGTTCACGATTAAGACCTTTAAATTTCCTCTCGAGAAAAGAAAAAGAATGGATGATTCGTTCAATAGGATTTTGTGGGCTTAGCGGATTTCACATGTCTTTTACGGGAATTGTTGCGATCGATTGAATTTGGTAATTCGCTTTGGAAAATTCCGAAGTTCACTAACGTAAAACAAACAGAGTAGCGAATACAAATTAATGCCTCATGTGTAGTGCTAATACTGAAAGCTTTAGAATGCTAAGCCAGTTCGAAACGTGCGGTAGCTCGAGTATATTCGATTCTTTGGTGACTAGTACCATATAAGGGTATCGCTGCCGCATAAAACGACCGCCCATTTGTCCCCTTTGCTCAGACAAGGTGTTAACCGAGAAGCAGTTCCAACCATTCTTCGTCTCACCACAAATTGGGTATACATTACAATTTATAAAAAAAAACGCTTTAGCCAACTGTCATAATTAAATGTGGCTAAAGGAAAATACAAAAACCGAAACTTGTCATTTCAAACAACGTAAAAGTATCTTTCAGAAGTGAAGTGAGAGTGTAATTGGTATAATAATAGCTGTAATTTTTTGAATTTATTTTTGAGTTTAAATATTAATGTTTCGTGACAGGGCAGCGGCGGCGGCAGGGTCTGCGAGGTGTCGGTGGTTTTCTGGCCCAGCGCGCCCGGACCGGTTCGCCGGTGGCTCGCACGCCACGCCAGAAAAGCCAAACACGTTGTATCGCAGTCGAGAGCGATAAACCTTGCTTCGTATACGGGCAAACGGCAAACGACCTATTCGTACCAATTTGCAGTCTGTTCATTCTGTTTTAGGAGGTTAACAGCTTGACTCGGCTAATGGCGACTATGAAATAAACTGTATCATAATTACTGATTTATTCAATTGTGATGTTTCCAGTGCTGCTATCGCAACGAACACAGCCTTACTTCTCAATTAACTAAGATAAATATCGACAGCAATTTGCTCGCTGATAAAATAACATTAAATATTGAATCTTAATACTTGTTCTTCGTGACACGACATAAGATTCAATTATAAACTTAAAACATCCTAGAATATCATGAGCTCGACCAGTCGTATTACATTTCTTATTAATGTATTGATGAAGTTAAGAATATTAAAATACATACCAGCGGTGAGTAGAATGCTGAGCTGTCAACACCAATGCTGGGGTAAGGATTTTGATCTGTCGATGGATATGGTGTTCCATAAACACCGACCGCGGCACTTGATAGGCGGGGGTAGGAAGTGAGGGCGAGTCTTGCTCCGTCGTATTGGCAGGAGCAGACTGTCTGGCCAGAGACCGGGTCTGTGATGATGGGGCGCGGCGTGTCGCAGCAGGAGGCGGCCGGGGTGCTGGCGTGGCTACCGGCGCCTGGCGACAGCGCGCCGCCAGCAACGGCTGAGCCACCCGGCGACAGTGGTGGCGCCGAACTCGAACCCCCGTCCGGCGAGGTAGCCGCGCCGCCGGTGCCCGCCCCGCTGCTGCCCACGAGCAACTGCAAAACAATTTCTTTTATCATACTGTTGCAATCAGAGGATCTTTAAAATGAGATAAGGGTTACCCTGTGACACTTTTGAAAACAGATATAAATTGTAAGGTTAGTTATTGGCAATATTGGCTGTATATTTAAACACTGTTCTTATATTACAACCTTTGCTGATAAGTTTAGGTACCTACAAATTAAATTATTATTACAGTTAGAATCTATTTCTTTCAAAATGCAACGACAACTACAAGCTAATCAACAGTTAAAAGATCGTTATTCGGTCGATTTGAGAGCACACTTTACAAGTGGAGCGCTTTCTTATGCGTTTATTTTTAAACGAATGCAAATTGATTCCGTTTCTAGGGCAGAGCGGTAAGATAATATCAGGGGCATCCGCTTAATCTAAGCATCTCTGTGACGAGCCCATCGTCCCGTCCGACTGAAGATACTCTCGAATTACTTCGTGGAAATAATTAGTAAACATATTATGAAGAGTCGAGCTAACGCTCCGCTGATCAAAGTAACGACGTGATCGGCACAATTTGTTAATCGTAACGTCTTGTTTAACTCGTATCGTAATTGTGTGTTGATGTTATGAATTCAAATCTCATTCACTTCCTTTAATCTCATTTCGATTTATTACCTTGGCGATGATTATCTATAATTTTTTCATTGGTCGCGGTGAAAACTTTTAGTATTTGCTGCTTTGATATTTTCATAAACGGAATAATTTGATATAAAAATAATTTCATAAACGATGAATTTAACTTATTTACATAATTACACAATCATTTCTACTAATTTATTGGATATGTTTTATCAACCAACACCAAATGCGCGATGACGCTTCTAAGTTAACCGCAAGGGCCACTAGTAAGCACTATTATTTGTTGCTCAAAAAAGAATTTGCAAGTGTCAAACCATTGGATGTATTGACCACGCATAAAAACGATATTTTTCGTTCAAGGTTACTTACATAAATAACCACAAATCAGACATGTTTCCTGAATAAAATATGATGTCACAAAGCAGTTGTCACCACCCAGCTATAATGACTTCATTAGAACTTCAACCATTCGGAACACTAAACGTACGCATATGCAAGCGCTGTGTACACTTATATAGAGAGCAAACACGGCTTAGGCCCATTGAATAGAGATGAAAGAGTGGGTTCAGACAAGGCACTTCAGTTTTCTTGATATAACAAATATGAATTTCTTTATTTAATCAATATAAGTGTAGTTTAGCCGGTGAAAGACTAAAGGGAGACGTAAACAGATTTGGTTAAACATTGGGGCCGGGTTGGCTTAGAAATAATAGCATAAGATACTGTGCACACATTGGACCCCACTTCACCTATGACGCTCCGTTTGAGTGTACCAACTTGTTTTCTTTAAACAGAGCGAGGCCTTCAAAGAGACAAGTCTTGTACCTTTGTTGGCCTTCAATTTTACATGGGAATTGTGGCTTGCAAGCTGAAAGCTCTGACTCACGCTAGTAACTGTTAAATGTTTAAAAGTTTGTTTAAATAAAGATAGGGATTGATACAGGCGTCCAATGCCTGATAATATTTATGATTAGGGAACTTAAAGTGTGAACGTAACACTATGAAATCAAATGTTTAAAATTGTTATAAGCGGTTATCTTTGGTTGTCTGAATTGTTTTATTTGGTAGAGGAACCGATTGAATTGTGGGTTTTAAAATATTGTTTAGATTCCAAATGTATTTCAATATTCCAGAATGATATAGAAGTAGCTTCCTCGCAACTGTTGTATACACGTGAAATCAGAATAAATAGTTGTTGGGGCGAACACGTCGCGATTAATCTGAGCTACAATTACAAAGAGCCAACCGCTTATTGGACGGCCATATTTGTATAAACAGCGCTATCACTGCTTGCGTGCATACGTGTAATTAGTAATAGTCGAAGATAACACACGTACACACTATGTCATTATGGATAACGACGATATTTAGGTATGAAATTGTGATTTCGATATCAATCGCACGCCGCTAGATAATCACGGCGCACAGAACCTACCACGCTTGTCTGTGGACGATATTAACATATATGTCGCACATTAAATAAGCTGTCCGTATATTTATACACATTATTGTATTGTTGTCAGTACTATAAATTACAAAGCTATTAGTCATGCACCTATCGGTGTGTAATACGCCGCCGAGTCTATGTGACAGTGTTTGAATGTGTTTTTACAATGTAAATATTATGATTTTTTGATGTTACCTCCAACCTACATGTGCTTTTACCGTCAAATAGAAAAAATATTTTCGCATTATTAACATGTAAGTCACGCAATGTTTCATTTACTTGATTTCAATGTTTAGCAGCAAAGTAAACAAATACTTAGTAGGTACCTATGTATAGTATGTAATAGTTTTTGTAACACTAAGAACTTCGTACGACAACAATAACAAATGATCACAAAAGTTAATAGAACTTTAAACAATTACAAGTAAATGTACGAACAACAGAAGATTGAGTATTGACGAGCGACGCTAATTAAACTACCAATAAATTAGATACTTGTTAAGAAATGTAACGAGCATTTATAAGATAATAAACCGTGAGGGCCTAAGTAATAATGGGGCTTCCGGGCCCGCTCGGAGGGTTGATCAAATCAAATATAAGCAATATTATGTCACTATGTACAAAGGGGGCAAAGTCCCGCCAACGCTTGACTGCTTCGGTCAACAAAACTTCCAATAAAAACTACTTGGCTGGAGAACGATCTCAGCGAGACAGAACAAACAAGCTTTCAAATATAAATACTCCTACGATTGCAGTTACCCTTAAATTAAATAAAAAAGCTTCAGTAATTTAGTCCAATCTGTCAAATGAAGAGTGTTGAGCAAAGAGAGGGTTTTTGGATTAATGTTTTATGTGGGTGATATCAGATGTTTTCAAGAGGGGGGGTGAAACTAACGTATCCAGTTGTTAATATGTCCCGGCTTGACATCCGTTATCTTATACACTTTACACTACTTACACGCTGAAAAACAATTAAGGGGATTTACAACCGAAGTGCTGTTATGATACACGTAATGGCATTGTCTATTACTTTCCATTATTATTTTTATAACTTATTGATTTTTTTAATCTTCTAACCATTTATTGCATGTTTTGTATTGTATCATAATGCAGAATGTACTTATTGCATATTATTGTTGGTGTGGCGTCACATGTTATTACTAAACAATTTAATTGCTACTAAATATACCTATAAATAAATAAACAAAAACGTCTATATATTTAAAAAAAGGAAATTCTAGAATCACATTATTGTTTTACAATAAAAATCTACCTAGGTATATTATATGTCCTATAGGTACATATAAAACTTTTTATTTGATCGGTTTGTCTATTCTTACTGAATAAAATATACCTGCATCCCAAAAGAGTTAATTATCCCCTTATATGTAAAATGAATTACTACTAACATGTTTCTAATTTGTTACTAAAAGTACGACCAAAAATGTACGAAACTCAAGTACCTAGTTTATGACTCAGTATTAGCTACGTGCATCACTAATTCACTACTGAGACCTGAGACATACAAACTAGTCTCAAGCCCCCATTGCAAGCTCGTCAGGCATCGCGTGCCTGTCAGAAAGTTCCAGAACTAAACGTTAAGAATTTTTATAAGCCTAATAAGCATTGAATTTCTTAGGGCCCATATCTTATATTAACATAAAACAGGTTAGCTATTCTAGCATTTGAAGTTCGTGTTTAGAATTTAATGTGCGCTAAACTTATATAATATCCTGAATTGTACACGCGGTGGTGCGCTGGTACCTACGCTAATGTTGTGAAAATTATTGATTTTCCGGATTAATAAGAGTTTATTGTACAAATTTTCTTTATCGTCATTTGAAACGCTAAGCTTGTCGTCTTTAAATGACATTTCTTATTGATTTTCTGTTAACCTCAGTTATTGAATCTATTCACGCAAATGGCGTAAGAATTATTATATTTGTTACTAAAATATTCCTTTATTGAATGGTTGAACATAAATTGTATCATATCCCGTCATGTAACATTCAACCCATATCGGAACAATTTTTAATCAGATCCACAATTTTGTATGTTTAGGAAAACGTTAAAATAATCGGCTTAAGTTTTTTATAATCGACTTATGAGTATTTTAGTACCTGTGATAACAGGATTTTAATGAGATTTATACAAAGACAAAATATTTAAAATAAATATTCTTCTAATGTCAGAAACTGCAAAGCACCTTATCGTCGACTTGTAAAGAGAAGGACTGAAAAAAATAGATCAAGCGAATGTATATATTTTTTACAAAGACAACACTGAATGAAATGAGTATACTTAATTATGCATTATATTTTACTTTACTACCACAAATAACTAAATAAGGGCGAATAAATTAAACGCGATGACAGAAAATCTATTCCAAATTATTCATAGACTGATTGACCCTTTATTTAGATTGTCCATGATTTTGGCAACACTTGGTCCCAAATAGAGCAGTCACTCTGATTAGAGCACATTGATTAAATTATGTTTATACCCAAATATAATTGGAATGAGGCGTGGTCTCATTGTGTATGCCCCTCGTTGTGTACTCCGGGCTAGAGATGGAGGTACAAGCTAGATGCGTAAGTAAGTGTATCTATCTATATAGGTGATGGAAAGCTTTCAGTCTCCCGTCAATATTTGATGAGATTCGGACGAGGGGATTCGGCAGTGTCCGTGCCGACCGCTTGTCCTTCATACTGATTCGTTGTCGGACTTCATACATATTGATGATAGCTAGAGATGATAATTCGGGGCCAGTGTATAGGAACTCCCCTTACCGATATTATTTTTCTGCAGTGGTATTATCAGAAGGCCAAATGGTAATTTAAATTGTGACTGATTGTAATGAAATAATGTTGTGTTTGTAATGAAATTAAATTACAATTTCTTGTCTGACTCTGTCTCTACTCATAATACATATAATGCTGTTCACTCGTATACGTG